AAAAAATCACGAAAAAAGGACTAAAAATAACCTCTGGATCAGTTTGCTGGAGGGATGTGTATTGTGCATCAAATTTTTGCTTTTCATCCGTATCCAAAAGGTGACCTTTGCGCTCACGGAGGAATTTTCTGAAGTACCTGATCAAAGCAGCACGTGAGGACGTATCCAAATAGCTGCAATATAACACTGTGATTTCTTTTTCAACAAAAAACTGCAAAGGACTAGCAGAAGTTTTTAGAAAATAGAATTAAAGCATAAAAATTGAACTGAGATATGTGCAATGTGAAAAATCAGAATCAAGGGTCAAAAACCCCTTTCAAATTTCACGCTCTGTAAGGGATGGAAGAATTCGACGCTGCGCGAGCGAGAAACACACAAAAAAATAAAATAACACAACTGATAAGGATCTCGATAGTTTTTTCATCCGAGATTTGCTTAGTTGTAGGCTGCTGGCAATTCTGACTCATTTTGCATGTGCACGTACCAATTTACCATCGAAACGAATCAAAAATTTGTGGACTGATTTTTTCCAATGTGGCTCGCTCGTGCCAAAAAATTCCTGGATATCAGAAAAAGAAAAAAAAAAACAAACTCCAGGTTGAATGGCAGCTTTTCGGTTAGCAAATTCCAGAACGAATGATCATCGACTAGATCGTCATCGTCGAACAAATTTTTCTCGCCCATTTCATTCATACATTCCATCACTGCTCGACGTTGTTCCGGTGTCATCGCCGCCAGTGCTTCCATCTCATCAAGCTCCACAGCTCGCTGTAATAATTTATTTTTGAAAGGTACGGACAAAAATAACTTAGATCAATTATGAGGCATAAATATGGCAATGAATACAAGGCATGTAAAATGGCTGCCTCTCTACCACTTTTTTCGATAAGGTGCCCATAGTCTAAGTAAAAAAAAACAACTTTTTTGGTTGCGAAAAGTGAGGATATGCCTCGAATTCCAAGTTCACTGCTGAGGGCTTTTTTGCGCATTCATGCTCGAAAAATAAGTAATATTTAAATGATTTACGCCATCATATGAGAATCAAC